TTATTATGGTTAGATGTTGAGTTCGGATTTTAGCTTTTAAACTAATGCATTGTGTAAGAACCTAATGACCCAACAAACAAATCCCCAGTATGAATATATATTAGGTTTGTAACAGTTTGTTCCAAAACCTTGCAGCAGCAATGTAGCTGATGGTGATATTTTTTAAAACTTTATTTAATGATAAATTTAGAAAAAGACCAACATAGAAATTTGTGTATTTTTGGATGAATTTTTTATAATGCTAAATTTCATCTTGTGAACAACTAAAAATTATGCTTCACAATATATAATTTACAAGACCACAATGGTCAACAGCAAAAGAAGTTTAAACTTGAAATAAATTTTGCTGACGTTATAAAGACGGCCTGTTCTAGGAACATCAACCCAAAAGAACGTATTGAAGAGACTAACTAGCAAATTTCCCTGAATATATATATATATATATATAAACTTTTAGGATATTTGTTTGATTTAAATTATTACTTACTAGCTGGAGCATCCGTCCCCTGGACGGAAGTTATGTAAATTCATGATTAATGAAAAGTTATCTTAGGACATGAAAGGTTGCTTCCCTTATATATAATTGTAAAAAACGCAAAATCACCCATAAAAACAAAACGTAAACCATAAATTTGCAATAAAAATATAACCTGATATTGTTGTTATCGAAAAGAAAAATTGGAAAAAATCTTATACCACGAGAAATGGCTAATGCGTAATAAATGTTTTAATATTCACAACGTTTCCTCTGGTGATTTTATACTTTAATGGAACGGAATAACTGATATCAATAGGATTATAAAACACAAGCAAAAGTACCCGTCCCCAGTGACAGGAAAAGTTTAGATTAATCTATCAATTTAAATTATTTCATTAAAAGGTTAATTGTGTTACACTCTGGGTTTCATTCAGAGTCAAAGCTCTGAGCTACTTATGCCGCCCACCCCGAAAAGTAATTGTTGAACATTCCAGTCATGTTCAGTCAGTGCTGCTCAACAATAACATACGGTAAATCTACATTTTTATTCTTTAAATTACGTCACGTTTTGAAATGTGAATGATAGTATGATTAATTCCTAACAATTTAGTGTAGAATATCCTGCTTGTGAAATAAAATTTGGCATCAACATTATTCATGCATGCCATTTCAAAAGTGAATGCTTAGTTTGCCTGCGTAGCTTTTCAAACGGGAGATAGACGAACGTTCGGACAGACACCACGGTTCGCAATCTGTATAAAAGTGACGGGGCAAGTACTACCACCCTCGCCCCATAGTATACCCTAACCTAACATTTTTACAGCTAACTAAAATAAATAAATTTTGCGAAATCAAGCTTCACCTACAAAGAGGCAGAAAAGTGCAGTCGAGGCAGTCAAACGTCGGTAAATTCCTTTGTGATCCAATCAAAATTAAGATCATTCATGAAATGAATTCGTGGCATATTCATAGAATGATTATTAGTAAAAATCAGTTAGATTAACAACTTCTAATATATAGAAAAGCCAGTGCGTTTTGGTAACACTACATTCCAACAATGGCTTTTATTTCATGTTGCTCAGCAACAAAAATATAACCTAATATTGTTGTTAGTCTAAGTACTGAAAATACAAAATAAAATGTATAGACAATAGAACTGGAAATATATTTGTTGATTTCTTATGTCAGAGTCTCTGTTGATTAAAGAGGTTGATGAGATACATAAATAGCTTAATTTAGAGAAGATTTAAAACTGAATCGATATTTTTATTTTCATGATAACTTTTATACAATTGACTCTAGGCTAGGTGATCCCATACTATCTCTTTACTTTAGGCTTATTATAACAACACCCACTATATTTATAAGGTTTCGTGTCATACACACACCCTCACGGCCCCTTGTACCCCCGTCACTAAAATCAGTAATATGCCGACAGTAGTTGTTG